TAATATAAAAAAAAAAAAGTTAATTGAGGAGAAAAAGAGCAGAAATAAAGTGGGACTCCCAGGCCAGGGAACCAGGCCTGGTAGGGGCAAGGAAGCCAAAGTGGAGTCGTGTCTCAGGGAATATATACTTTCTTTCCCTGATTATTCTAAAGCTCCACCAGTCTCTTTGTGATTGGTCAGTTCTCGGCTGTCTCACTTAATTTGCTAGTGAGTGGGAGATCTTCACATTCCTTATCTAACAGGTTTGTCTTTCCCCATTTGTTACACCTTTATCTTTATGGCCTAGTCTTTGGGAGAGCATCTCCACACCTTATCTTTATCACCTGAAGAAAACCAGGACCATCCTGGAATGTTTGTTTTTCCCATTTTGTTATCAATGGTCCTGGGATGTTTGTTTTTCCCAGTGGAATTGGTTACATTCCCTTGGTTGTCCTTATCTCTGAAGCCTCCCTTAATTCTTCAGAGGTCCCCTCCTGCACTGTCCCTAAAACTGCCTAATAACCCTAGCTTGCCCTGTGTCTCACAAATTACTGCACTTTCATCCTATTATATATTTTTAAAGATGAGTTTTTGTAATAATTTTTATATTGTTATGTATATCATTGATGTTAGTAACTGAAAATAAAGTCTCAATGGTAGAGTTTATTAGATAATCAGAGTGAAGATTCAAACCTAGGAAGCATTCCAACAGATTTACTCTGTGAGAGTTAATCCAGTAAATGCAAGTTTGAATTTAGTTTGCAATGGTAGGAACAGTGAGTCATGGACATTAAGAGTGTAATATTCTTGGGCCTCCCCTGGTCTCGCAGCGGTTGAGCACTGGGCTGCAAGGCTCCCCACAGCCTCTGCAGCGCTGGTTCATTCCCTGCCGCCGGTGAGGGTCCCACAAAAAAAGAAAAAAAAAAAAGAGTGAAAGAGTGTAATATTATTCTTGATAGGAGAGATATCTAACTCTAAGTTGCCCTGACCTAGAGAGACACTGATTCTAGAGGAAGGTAATGCAGGGGTAAATTTTTCACCTGCTAATGAATCCACTGCAGAGATGCAAAGTCTTGGTCCTGTTGTCGGTTTTTTGGTTTTTTTTTGGAGTCAGTTGGTTTGGAGTGTGGGGTCCTTGGAGTCACTCTGGGAAAGGTGTCACCAGAGCTCCCATTTCAGCGACACGCAGTGAGTTTCCCAGGCAAGTGTCTCCATAAGACAGAGACGTTAGTTATATTTAAAGAGCAGGTTTATTAGGGAAAGGGACAGAAGAATGAAGGACACTTGCATAGACACCAGCAGGCAGGAAGAGCTGCCCCGAAAGGGACAGGTTTGCTCAGAGAGGCCTGCATGGTTGCAGGTCGGTGGCCTTGAGGAGAGCTGCCTCTGCTGGGGGAGGTCAGTGAGGAGAAGCCTGAGCTTAGTACTGGTCATGGGCAGGCAGGAATCTGCTGCCCTGCAGAGGAGAGAGTTGGTAAAAAGTAGCACCTGCATAATCACAGTTGGGCAGAGGGACTGCTGCCCCATACAGTCTTCTTCTCTTTGGGAGGGGCTCACTCCTTTTAAGCCTTAGGTTAGATGCTGATTTGGGATTACTAGGCAGAATCTGAAAGGGACTGGAGATTCCACAATGGGCGCCATCTCCATATCTTTACCCTTGGACCTGTCTGATACCTGCTTGGATCTTATGCTTTGTAATCTAGGCTTTGGCACCTAAGGATCTTGGTTTCTATATCTGGGTCAATGGCTATGCTAATCCCTTCTACCCCCACCTCCAGCTCTTGGCATTTTGTGAGCCAGGTTTCTGGTCTTTTGCACACCTCCTTTTCTGTTTTTCTGTTCTTGTCCTCCATCAGTACCATTGTGAAATCTCTGTTTTTAAGTTATTTGAAAATACTGACTTTATTTTCAGGCAGCGGATTGCTGCATGCAGGATGGAGCTTGTGAAGATGACTTGGCTCTCTTGCCTGCTAGACGAAAAGTGGGGGTCCCTAGAAAATTTTACCATTTGTTTACAATGTCATAGTCACTGAAACAGTGTTCAAAAGACTTTTATTGACCTCAAAGTAGAGCTTAGCATATTATCATGCTGGTGCTCCCCTTCCCCCAACAAAAATATTTATTATCACCCTAGATAGCCATCTTCAGATCACATTCTTGGGCTGTTCTGTCACACACAGCTCAGCAGGGACACATTCTTCACTTTGAAATTTTGCTTCTTAGACTTTAAAAGTGAATGTGGGGATTAAACTTTGTTTTGTTTTTTAGTTTGTTTTTAAATGATTTTCCTATATCTGTTGACTTACATTATCTCTAGTAAAGAAATGCAAGACTACAGAATACTGATGAAAATCTTTAAAGTCTTGGTATATTTTGCAGTTTTCCTCAAATCCTGCTCACTGGCAGCTTCCTAGCCTGTGGAGGTGGGCTGACTTTGTTCATTTTCACTGATAAACTCCTCCCAGGGCATATTTATTGGTGAGCCATACTATTTATCAGCAAAAAGAAAAAAAAGAGAGAAAGAACAAATCTTTATCTTCATTTAAAGGAGGAAAAGCATGTGTTGAGACATGTGGACTAGTAAATAATCAGAGTGGCTATCTCATTATCTGGTAAAGGGGAGGAAGTAAAGATTTCCTTCTACCTTTCTGTGTTCTTGGCTGAGAACTCTCTGAAATAAAAGATTAAGAGGAGAAAAACAAATGTATAGTAACATGTATAATTACTATATATATACACACACATGTATATATTGGAGATAGTCAAAAACTGAATGACTCCTTGACATTTCCTGAGCCACCTCCTTAAATACTATCTTCGACTAAAGATGAGGTGTTGAAGAGGGGGTAGCCAGTTATGGCAGGCTTTTAGAAAAAGCAACACAAACAAAGCTTAGGTAGTTATGTGATTTCAGGTTTGCCTTCTGTATTGATAAGAGTTTCCAGAGATTTGGTCATGAGAGAAGGGGGCAGGGCAGAGGTTTGAGAAGGGGTTGGGGGGAGGGGGAGAGAGAGAGAGAGAGAGAGAGAGAATGAATCCTCATATAATCAACATGCCAAATAGGGGTGGTTTCTTCAGCTCCCCTTCATTGGTAACAGCTGCCAAATTTCAGAGTCAAGTGCTTTAGTTTCACATAACACATTAGATTTTCTGTGCTATGGCACTATTTGCATTTCCAGGCCTGGGCCAGATAATTTTCAGTTGCTAACTTGAATGTGTGCTATTAAGTCATAGTTCTCTGTACATTTATGGAAGTGTGGAGAGCTCCTGTAATTGAAAATGACAGAATTGCTTGTGAGTGGTGTTTTATGTATCTTTGAATCCTTGCCACAAACCAGTCCCATTACTTTCTATGCTATGAATAATTCACCCTCACTACCTCCTCCTTTGTGTAGGAGATCATAGGCACAACATAAACTGATAGAATGAATTCTTCCTCCCTCTGCTCCTGGCTTCGGTGTATATTCTTGCTATGTTGACTGTCCCTGCTGTTATTCCTCTGGAGTTTTGGAATTTCTAAATTCCAAAATCTACTCACACAACCATCACTAATTTGCCTTGTTTGTCATTATAATTAGATTTCTGCCTTATTGTAATTTGTTTATTCTGAGAAAAGTACTTTCCCAGCCACCCCCTGCCTGATTTGCCTGAATTGTCACTCTGGTGTTATTACTTGTTCAAAAACTCAGGTAGCGAGGAAGAATTATCCTGTCATCCATGCCCTTCACTGTGTGGCCCTGGCATTCTTTAGTCTTTCTCCCACTACTTGTCCATTTTCACCTTCAGCAATATTCAAACTATACTTCTCCAAATAAAGAATATACCTCTCTACATTCTTATCCCATGGTGTTAACACCCAAAGCAGCGGGCACCCTGGGAGTCTGAAACTTGCACACTCTGAATGGATTCAGCCATCCTGATACACAAAGACATACTGTGAAGGAACTTCAATAGAATTAGTATACATACAGAGAGAAGAGAGATTAATAGTTTCCCAATAAAACACCCAAAGTTACCCATCCCCTTCTGGGTAAATGCCCAGCCAAACAGGCTTGGCCTGAAGCAGGGTCGCTGAGGCCCAAAAGATTATCACACGTCTCAGGCACCTCCTGAAGGAGAACCATAGGAAGGGAGCAAAAGGGGCCAGGCAAGTCTGGGACAAAGGAGTGTGATCAAAGTACAAATCAAGACAATTGCTGCCATTGTCAGTGTGCTCATGTGTCTCTCACCCACCTGTGTGTCTCTTCCAAGTGTTTTTACTTGTTTCTCTCCCACGTGTCTCCTTCCAAGTCTCCCGAATCCCTCGTGCAAGTCCAAAGCTGAAAAGCAAAGTTGGCCTTCTCTACATAGCCTTCTCCACGTGTCTCTCTGTGTGTCTTTTTGAGGCCCCTTCCCTTCAGTGTTTTATAGCTTCACCTGGCCACCTAATTCTGCCCCCTCATTAAGTAGGGAGGGGAATGTGGTACCTCCCTCTCTAATGGCAATGTCTCTGTTTCAATAGTTCTTTGCTTTTTAGATGAAATACACCCTTGTCCTCATACTAAACACAACATATTTAAAATCTTAGCATTCTTCAAGGCCATCTCATGTACATCCCCTTCCATTGAGTTTTTGTTTGAAAATCTCTTGCCATTTTTTTTTACCTCAGTCATTTATCTACTTCTCACTTTCTATTTCTGCTTTATATGATACTCTAAATCGGGTATAGTATCTTAGTCACATCATTGGTCAATATTTCTTGTGCAGAATATTTTTCTGACCTCTCACTTGCTTTTATGGAGTCTTTGAGACTGTGAGGTCATGGTTTTAATTCAGAACATATCTAAATTACCTTTAATCACTTGGGTCAAGCTCTTCTGATTCACAGCAGTATTTTGCTTGTAGTGTCTACATTTCAGTGTCATTGTCAATCAATAGCATTTTGAGATATTTTAAAGTAATTTAACAATTGATGTATGATGTTCTTTTTCTGTATTTGATCTGTACATCCTTTAATTTTTATTTCCCTTCTTTGAAACTAGGCCACTGACATTTGTGATCCTAATCCAATCCTGATGCTCATGCTTTGTGTTTACATGTATGAAAGGTTGCCTACGTATCTCCCCAAGAAGGTCGTGCCCTTCCATTGTACTTTGCATGACACTGTGTTGAGACAGGTAAGCATATCTATGGGGCCAAAATATACATGGAGCTAAACACCTAAGAGGGGATTTAGATATTTGTTGGCAAACCCCAAATTAATGAAAATATCAATATTTTATAATAATCCTTTACAAATGTTGCTCCTTTCAAACCAAAGATATAGAAAAGTAAGAGTGCCAAATTTTGCTTAATAATAATAACTACCTACAAATCCTAGTTCTGGGTAATATCCCCAATTTTCGTTCATCTAGGTAATTAAGGGAGTGGTAAACATTTCTTATGAGCCTACTGGGCTTCCATTTACCTCTTTTTGAAATAATCCACATGCCTTTTGTGGAGGCCTACCTTTCAGTAATCTTGCCCTCACTTGTCACTGATATTTATAAGTAGGCAATCAAAATAAGACCCCCAAATCCTTTTGGAAACTGAAGGTGAAACTCTTTAGCAAAAACATGCTTGTCCTGATAGTTACTAAAGTTGTCATGAAATGTAAAGGCAATTAGTCTTCTGAGAAATTTAACCTTTGTGATTCACTCTGATTGCATACACTGCTAATTATTAACTCTTCAAATATCTATGCCTCTAGTGCCTGGCTTGCCTAAGTTGCAGTCATCTTTTCTTTATTCCAGTTTGGTCAGCACCCTTTTACCTTATGTCTTCTTCCACCTCTGGGCCACTAATTTCCATGACAACCTTGTGTCTTCCTAATGTGTTTTTCAAATCTCCATTATATTCTATATAAACACTTTCATAGTCACGTGTTACTTAACAATGTGGAGAAATGCATGATTGGAGTATTTCATCATTGTGCAAAGATCATAGAGTGTAATTACACAAATCTAAGATGGTGAAACCTACTACTCACCTGCACTATCTGGTATAGCCTTCTCTCCACCTAGACTACTATAGTATATGTAGTCTATCATCGACTGAAACATTGCTAAGTGGTACATGATTGCAAACTCACATTTTTTCATTGAAAGACTCTGTATGGAAATGAAGTAACTTATTCTGTAATGTTTTCCATATCATGATGTCAAGAAGGAAGAGACAGCCAGACACTACCTATCCTACTGTGTAAGGAACAAGAGGAAATTCCCCCATCTCTCTGGGTTCCTCCTGCACCGGTCAAGCAAACAAATTAACATCAGACAGATTAGTTGTAGAAAAAGAACAAATTTAATTACAAACGTATGGATAATTTATATCACTGTAAATTCTAGAGAAATGAGAGATTGAGGGCTTATGTCTTAAGCTAAGGAACAGGGTAGGGAACTGGAATGTAAATGAGTGAGGAAGGGGTCTCACATGATAAGGAAGGGATGACTTCATATGATGAAAACCCTTCCTCTGGCTATTTGCCTGGCCTTAAGATAGGTTTCTCCAATAAAAAAGGTTATTTCTGGAGACCTACGTAATCTTCATTCTTTGAGGTAATGGCAGCAGTTTCCCCTAAAACACACAGGAGCTCATTTTACCTTACCTCCACATGCCAAGCTGGGAAAAGCCTAGTCTGAGCATTTTGGAAAAACCTATCTCAGGAGGCCTGCCTACAACTGCTCTAGATGAGACCGCCATCATTTCCAGTCCGGACTTGTGATTTTAAACCTATATTCTTATGATACTTTCTAGATCAAACAGCTAAAGTATCTTTTTAGTAAATTGGATTATAAGTTCTCTGTTTAAAATGCTCCAAAGATATCCCTTCACAGTAAGACTAAAAGCCAAGTTGCTAACTTTAGACTGCAAGTTTTATCTCTATGTAAAGATATGTATGCATTTTTATATGTTTATGTATATTATGTGTATGTATTTATACGTGGACTTAAAGTCAAATGCATATAACATGCATATCATGTGTATGTATATTATATATGTTTATCTTGTGTATGTATTTATAGTACATATGTATAGATATATATATATATATACACATAGTATCTTAAAATGCAAAACCTTATCTCCACCAATACTACATATTTCGATATTTTCAATATTAAAATATGTCACTGTCTACAATAAAAATAAGACATGTTAAATATTTTTAAAATTCATTTTATTCTCTCTTCTTCAATATAGATTCTACTGAAAAATTCAAGCACAAAAAACTTAGTGTATAGTGCTACAATTGTTGGAAAAGATGCTGCTGACTTCTCCCTAGCACAAGCAGGGAATACTGTGACAATTTCTCCAAAGTAAGTATTTTTTGAAATTTTTGTCATTGACCACAAGACTCTAAGAAATTTAATTATAAAAGAGTTAACTGAATTTGGTTTCCACAGATATATGTGTGTCTCTGTGTGTGTGTGTGTGTGTGTGTGTGTATATATATATATATATATATAATGAAATATATATATAATGAAATACATATATATAATGAAAAGTCTGTCTCTCAGACATAAATTATTCATGTTAACATCACTCACCCATTTTGTTAAGACACTAATAAAACAACTCCTTTTTATATGTTCATTTAATTTTAGTTTATTTTGCATGTATACTGGCCATAGAAATGAGACTATAAGTTATTTGTTTAGGTACTACAATTCTGTTTCCTATAAGAAACTGGAAGCAGTGTGTGCTAAATTTATCATATATATTATGATATTTTATTATGCATTATATATATACTTGTTTATCATTATACAAGTAGTTTGTGTTCATTCTAGAAAATTTAGAATCCATGAAAGTATGAAGAACATAAGAAGGTAAAAAAGCTGCTTAATTCAGCCCAAAGGCATCCCTATCATTGCCATTTTTCTCTATCCCTTCATAGTCATTGTGTATGGAGAAAGAAGAGAGAGATGCATTATATATACTCCCAAATTGTGACAATTTTCTATGAACTCTCATTTTTACTTGATCCTGTTCTCATGATACTTGTTTAATGCTTCTAGTATGATTACACTCTCAAACGTGAGGTACAAATTAGACCCCGAGAGAACAGTCTTGAGAAATTAAAAATAAGCATAATACAGGACTCTTCCCAGATCAGCAGATCCTATTTTATATGCCTGTAGATTTTAATAATGACAAATATTCTTATTACATCATACAAGGATGATAGGAAAATAGCTGTGTCGGTATCACAGGGTGAACAAATTGATAACCGCTAGTGAGCTTAACCACTCTTGGATTTTAGTCATTACCTTTGTATTCAATTATTTTTTCACAGTACAGAATAACAGAGTATAATTATGAAAGTTACTTTGCAAGATTCTTTTTTAAAACTATATTTCATACTGTCATCTTTACTACTTGTATGGCAAACACCGGAATAATTGAAAATGGCCATTTTTTATCGTATTTTAAAAACCATGAAACCCAGTTGCAATAGTGCCCTGGGCTTGTGTCAATAGCCTGTGTTTATTTTATTCAGTTACTGCTCCATGCCAGAGGGGGTATATAATTTATAAAGTCTGAATATTCATGATTGGAACTATGTCCAGACTAAAATATGAGGAAAACAACTCTGTGTGCATGCATTTCTATATTATAAATTAAATTCCATAATAAAATTCCTTGTAATAATAATCCATACTTTTCCTACATTATACCTCTCTTACATTAGTCTATTATAAAACACAAATTTGGTAATAAAGCAGATCCTGTTGGATATTGTCACAGTACCATTTGTCTTCCCTCAAGGCTTTGATAACTTGAGATATGTTCTCTGCCCTTCAAATAGGATGATCCCAGTGAAAAGGATTTAGGCTTCTGATTTTTTTGACTCATAATTCTAATAGCTTCTTCCAGTATTTCAAAGATCTCATTCTGTGGAAATTCTTCCTAACTACATTAAACCTCTGAGATTTTCGCTTAAGAGCATATTTCTGTTAATGAACTTAGCAATTATAATTTTTGTTACAAATGTAAAACCTGAACATTGTTGAAAATTGACTTACAGAAAAGTACAAAGTGGAAAACAAAAATCACCCAGAATTCTATCAGATAGTTAATTTTTTCCAAGTATATGTTTATTATAACATATGCATAATTATATATTTACAAAATAAATGTACTATATTTTAAAAATTAATATTTATTAAACATTTGCTTTATACAAAATCGATATAATATGCACTTTATGTACATTTTGGTATTTAAGCCATATTAGTATCCTAATTTTACAAAAGAAGACATTGGGCACAGAAACATTAAATAATTTGCCCAATTTTTCCTGATACTAAATGGTGATACAGAGATTCAGAACCAGTCAATCTGAATCTAGAACCAGCACACTTATTATATTGACACCAGCACAAATTGTGTGTAATTGTGTGTATCACATTTATACAAAGCTCTTGACATTCAGTAAAATGTGGCTTTGGCTATCTGTAAGTGATCCTGAAGACCCATGACATTAATTGTATCACTTTTATTTTTCCAGGAGCTGGTTTGTGAGACTATTGCACTTGGGTGACTCCTTCTCTTTAACATCTCAGCAGTACTTTTTGCTCTTTATTCACCATTGGGCCATTTATGGTCTATATTGATATGGACATATTTATAAATATTAGCATTTCAAAATTTTAATACATGCCCAGTGAACATTAACTGACCACATACACAAGTACTTCTACTCACACATGTAAAATCAGGAGTGTATGTATTCATATATTTTGAATAATATTATACATGTACATGTATTTTTGTTTTTAACTTTTTTAAATCAGTATTTAACTTTCATGTGCTTTAACAAGTCAAATACACAGAGGGGTTTAGAATGCAAAGCAAGTCCCTCTCCCCTCAAATCCCTTCTCTGTAACGATCCACTTCTTAGGTGACCTACTTTTATTTCTTTCAATTATGTACAATTTAATTCTTCTGATGGTTACCTCCATAAATGTAATTAATATATATATCTTTGCAATTATGAAGTAGTTACATTAACTTCAGAAATAATGTATTAACATATAGTTACAATATTTGGTGATCTAGTTTATTCTTCTACATGTATCTTCCTCCCACAAAATAGCATCAGATTTATTTTGTAGCTCATATTCATTAATTTTCTAAAAGTAAAAATACATTTTTTCTCACTATTTTCTCATGCCATCTGTAGACAAAGAACCTTTTCATCCCCTTTGAAGCCAAGAAAATTAGTAAATTATGGAGAAGTGCATACAATCTTGAAGTTTCTTTCCTTCTAGTATACTACAGTCTAGAACACTAGGCCTTTTTTTTTTTTTTCTTCCTAGGATTGATTGCTTTCTAGGCCTACTTAGGAGATGCCAGTATTAGAAATTCTGTATTTCTGTTTGGATAGAAATTAATAGTTTTTTCTTAGTTTACCCATTTACTTTAAAAGGCATCTTTATGAAACCTTCTAATAAAAAGTATGCAAGAGAAAATTTTCTGTGATTTTGCATTTTTAAATATGTGTGTTTATGCTACTCTTCTTTTGATTTATGCTTTGCTTGGCATATTTTCTAGCTTGAAAGGATTTTTCCTCATAACTCTGAAGAAAATTGCTCTATTGCCTGAAGTATTTAGTATTTGGATAAAGAAGTCTTTTATAATTCTCTTTCCCTGCACATCTGGAAATTTTTATGTTCTTCCATTGTATCTGTGTATTGTTCCAGAATGTATAAAGGAGCATCTTTTTTTATTCACTGAGTACATAGTTAGTGCTTTAATAATGGAGTGGTTTTTCATAAGCTCTGGAAAATTATCTTAAATTTTTCTTTCATAATTTTTTCCTCTCCATTTTTTTCCATTCTCATTTCCCAAACTCTATTTGTTGAATATTGAACCCTCTACTCAATCTTATCACTGGTATTCTTTTTTCCAACTATCTACAACACTTTCTTTTTTCATTGTGATGTACCTATTTCATAGCATCATGTTCTTAAATTGGGGCTACAATATCTTATGTTTCTGACTTTTAAGATTTAATCACTTACCTCTATTGTTTTTATTTCCTCCAAGGTCAAGTATTAGTGACCTGCAATACTTATTTATCCATTCATATATAACAAGATACCAAGAGAAGAGTATTTTGTGATTTTGTATATGAACAGATCTGTAATTGGCAGACTTCACTTTAGGGTAAAAACATTCTGCTTTTATGACCAATTGCCTGATATTTTACTCTGGCCTTGGAAAGAGTTGGCTTGTTTGAATCCTATCTTGTCTGCCGTGTAAGTGGATATTTCTGGAAATGGCCTCACCTAGAGTCTACAGGACACCTTTGTTTCCTTTGTTAACCTCTGTACAGGTGTTCACTGATGGTTTCCTGTAGCCACTTTTTAAATAGTCTCTTAATTATAATTTTAAAGATAGTTCTCTTAGAGTGGTGATAAATCTTGGTTTCAGGTGTCCTTGTGGTCTAGTGCTCTTCCATCATTTAACAAATACTGGGCCTTGATAATGATTCACAGTCTATGACCCAGCCTCATTTCTCTTTTTTGGAAAATGAGGATCAGAGTATTTACCCATTGTATTTTCAGTAATAAATGTGATTATATGGGCAAGACACCTACTACTATAATGGTACTTTATAGGGTGCAATCAGTAAGTGTTTGCCCTTCTCCTATAGATTTATGCTGATGATTCATTGATGAAAATATATCAATACTCCTCACAAATGTTTACAACCTCATAGAATCCCATAAAGTAGATACACAATGAGAATATAATTTGATATATCGTTTTCTGATATATTTATAGAAGTAGAAGGTGAAGGAAACATGAAACACCTAAGTGTTCTTGGGGAAACCATAGAAGGTTCCTCAGAAGAGGTCTTGCTTAATATGGAAACTCACTTTTTATTTATACGCATTTTATTTTGTAGGCTTGAATACTGCCATTAGGTAGTTCTTTAGATATTCCTTTAGTGAAACTAAATAATTTCATAATCTTTGACTTTTATGAATAAGACTGAGAAAACATTGTTTTCTTGAACAAAAAATTTATAACTTTATCATGATCAGATCTTATGAAATTATCCGTGTATACCACGTCCTGTCTTAGATTCTATCTAAATTGCAATTATTAATGGCTCTTTCTGCCAGCTGTGGATTTCAAATCCAGAGATATAATTTATATAGAAAAGATTAAACAGCTACACTAGCGTATAAACAAATGTGTTTATTTCTGCATCTAACTTGATGACTAAGTTTAGCTATAACCATAGAGTGACTGTCATAAAAGTGAAAGTAACACTTTTAGAAAACGATTCTGTTTCCCTTTTTCCCTCATTATTCTCATTGAGCCATATGGGCGCTGACATTGATGTGTTAGTTATTCTCCATCTTTTTTAAAGTCAACTTGAAATAGCTTGCAAGGCACATATAATTATCAAGGAGATTTTTTTTTTTAATGAGAGGGAGGCAACAGAAACAAAAAGAAAACCAAAGGTGAGAGAATTAACATGAAGCCAATAATAATGGTACACATGTCTAGAGAGGTAAAATACTTGCCTGAAGTGGACTTATCATTTGACTCTGAATTTTTTTCCCCCTTTAAAAAAAAAAAATGTTTGTGTGATTTTTTAAATTAAGGTAACATTGGTTTACAATACTGTGTGTGATTCAGAAAGAGATCTCAAGGGCAAATATTCTTTGTTCTCAATTAAATTTAAGTCCATGAGTTCTTCATAATGGCCAAGAAAATGTCCTTTTAGTCAAATTTAGGTTAACAATGACTAACTGAATAAAAATCATTCCCGCTCCTGTCAGATGTGAGTTCAAAACAATTTTGAGAATATTTCTGTTGACTTGGCTGCATTATTTTACTCTTTGCTACTCTCCAGCCTCCCCATTCAATAATAATTCCACAAAGGTTCTGGGGAAGTTAAGTCAAAGTTTGATACCAAGAGAATCTATTCCCATCTCCATTCCCAAATAGGGCTACGGGTAGGTGTTCTTTGATAGCTTGTATAAGAGAATAAATGTGATATGGTGTGTAATGCTAACTATTAAAAGTCAGAGCAAAAGCAAAGATAAAATTTCTCTAAGACTTATCACCCATATCTGTGTCAAGGCAACTCTGAAAGAAAGATTCAGTCAGTAAGGAAACAATTGGTAGCAGAAATCTAGGATCATTCATCTTTGTTTCAATGACATTGCTGTGGGTGGACTCCTGGATGGCTTCTGGATTAGAGCTGGTGGCATTTTCTTTATCAGTCATCTATCAAGGGCGCTTGAGTTGTTTACATATCTTTGCTATTGTAAATAATGCTCCATTAAACATTGTGGTGCATAAAACTCTTTGAGTTAAATTCAGTTTCTTCATATAAATACCCATAGGTGTGATTGCTGTATCATATGGTAGTTCTCATTTTTGATTTTTTTTTTTTTTTTTGCGGAAGCTACATATTTTTTTCCAAATGGTTACACCAATTTACATTCCTGCCAATAAGTGTACAAGGGCTCCTTTCTCTTGACACCCTTGCCAACACTTCCTTCTACTCAGATTCTTGATGTTAGCCATTCTCACAGGTGTGAAATATCTCATTTATGATTTTGATTTGCATTTAGCTAATAATAAGTGATGAGAAACATTTTTTTCATGTGCCCGTTGACCATTTGTATGTGCTCTTTGGAGAATTATCAACTCAGATCTGCTTATTTTTAAATTGGATTGCTTGTTTTTTGTTGTTTAGTTGTATGAGTTCTTCATATACCTTGGATATTAACCTGCTAATGATAATGAATGACATGAATTTTCTATTCCTGTCCAGTAGGCTTTTTGTTGTGCTGTTTTCTTTAGCTATGCAGAAGCTTTTTTATTTGCTCCACTCACAATGGCTTAAAATTAATTGATTTATTAAACATCCTTGTTTATTTTTTCACAGTAAGGGATTTCTTCACTCAGTTGTGGTCACCATAGTTCCCCCCCCTTCCCCGCACCCCCACCCCTGCCAAAGTGCCCACAATATGCTATTTATCCTTGCCAGTGTCTAATAGCTCCCCCAGCATTCAATCACCAATTTCTGCTCCCCAGTATCTTACTGTTCTCTGCAGGAATGTCCCTCTATTTTCCATACCTAATTGTGTGTGCTCCCCTCTAGTGCAGTCCTCAGGTCCTAGGATCCTCAATATGGGCATGAGCCCTTCAATCATCAAAAAAAGGTGGGGGATGCTCTGTATTACAGCCATCCCTCCCTCTCTTGTGTTGTTTTCCTACTTTCTACCTTCGCCAAGTTTTCTGTCATTTTTCCTTGTGAACATAGTTATCATACAGTTGGTCTTTTTCAAGAACTATTGTTTTTATGTATATGTATTTTTGTTAAATATGTGGGTAGTAGGTGAGCTCTGCATTATAATATTCTGCCATGTTGGTGGAAACCTCTTTATTCCTTCTCTTGTTTGTCTCAAATAAAATCATGCTACTTTGATATACTATTATTTTGATTTGAGATTTGAATTTTATTTTTAAGCACAGCTTTAAGTATTTTGTGTTTCTTATTCTTTGACATTTCTTTCTCCATATGACCAAAGACCAGTGATATCACTAAGAACTTGCCTAAATAGTAGTACAGAGTGTTCTATGATTTTCAGCCCACACTTGCTGTGGCTAGCTATTAGGAAATCTAATAGATTGTATGTCCATTTGGAAGCTAACTTTGGGTTTTTCAGATTGGATCAAGATGTTTTAACTGATAATAATACCTATTATGTTATCAGCAACAGTCTTTAATTTATTGTGCAAGTAAGTATATTACAGAATGCAGGCATTGGACAAATTGTATATACTGAATAGATATTTGTTACATGTCTTTTTAAAAATATTTTCTTTTTATCTTTTTAAAATAGAAACGAAATTACTATCACTCTAAAATTTAGAAGTCGCTTCCTCCGTCCTGCTGCAGCTTCACTGATATTAATTTCAAAAAGTAAGCATGCAGTAGGAGGTGCCACAATGACTTTTGCTCTTAAAGGTGAAGTCCTCAATTTCAAAACCTTTGTAAGTAAACCTTACTTGTTTTGTAAGTCCTTACTTTTCTTATTAGGCTTTTCTTATTAGACTATCGATGGCTCCAAGTTTTATCACTATGCAGTTTTTTTTTTATTTGAGATCACACGTCTATACAGATACAAAAATGTGCACATATTTACATTTGTACAATTTTTCACTTCTGTGTCCCTGATAGTCTGACTTTGATGCTCTTTCTGTGGAAGTAAGCCTCTAATTTTATTATAGAAGTGGAAAGGACTTATTGTAAGGTCAGACATTTAGATTTATGTTTGTTTTCTTTTTTTCGATGGAGTCAGTCATTCTATGCATAGGAACTTGCATGTCCTTCTGCCATGGAAACTTCTGATTTAAGTTAAAGCAGTCCCTGGGCCTGTATGAATGTTTTGGTTTGGATTAAGAGTTGTTGTTTCACACAGCAAAAAAAAAAAATGTTTCTCTACTCTGATATGAATATTAATCAGTTTGATTTGGCTCAAATTCACTTCAAAGATAACACTTAAGACTGATTTTTCTTGGGAGTTGATGATTTTCTTTCATCATGTGTATTAGGTGTATATATATATGACTGATTAATTTGGAAAAGTGAATTCATGCTCAATACCAAAACAATTTTAATGAAATCAATTTGGGAGACACTATTGTGACCCATATTAGTCTTGTTACAGCACAAGGAGAGGGGCACCCCAGAACCCTAACCTGCCTGCTCTAAATAGGTTCTGCCATCCGCTGCATAAAGACAAAACATATAAGACCTTTAATGGAAAGGAACTTTAATAAATTAGTGTGCAATACAGAAAAGACAAAGAATATAGTTTCCAAATCAAGCACCCAAAGTTACCCATCCCCTCGTGGGTGAATGTCTAGCCAAACAGGAATGGCCCAAAGCAGGGCATCTGAGGCCAGAAAGCCTAAAGCACCTTCCGGCAGGGACCCATGAAAAGGGTTATAAACAGGCAGAAAAGTCTGGGAGGAAAAGAGCAAAATCAAATCAATATAAAAGCTGCCATTGTTAATCTCCCCACGGGTCTCTCACCCACATCTGTTTCAACCCATCCAGGACCAAAAGGCAAGTGTAGTTTCTTCACATGCCTCTCTGCTCCATGTGCCTCCTCCAGGCGTCCTTCTGTCTCTCCCTCCTGCTTCCTTCCTCAGTCTCCTCTCCAGCTTCTTCTCCTCCCTGCTCAGCTCTACCCTCCCTCTGGTGGGGCAGGGAACCTGGAACCTCCCCTTTTCCTGGGCATCACCCTGTTACAGTTTGGGTAGCCAGTATTAGGGATCATTGATAAGGTAAAGTGTATTTTTATAGTCAATCCCCACCCAAATTTTAAGGGTATACAGTATTTCTGGGGAAAGGGTAATTTTTAAATTAATATCACTGTAATATTTAAATGGACAGGTTTTTTTTAGATGCTTGAAGTTGATATTTTATAATTCTGGATATTTTTTGTTATCACATAGTATGTTTATTATTACTATTATCATTATTATTTTGCTTTTAGGAAGTTATAAAATGCAATAGCCCTTGTTATACATGGAAGGAAATCAGTCTGAATGTTAAAAATCCCTTCCACGTTGCTGGGGACTTCAGGTAATTTATTGTTTTGGCATAAATTCATTGTGTTTGCTTCTATGTAAAGGGAATTACATAATTTTCAATATGAACAATTTTGAGAAGGAATTTTATGCATCTATATTGCTATACATTTATAAGCATCATCATATAAAATAGCACAAATAATAAAGGTAAGTCAGTTTTTCTTGAAATACTATTTGATCTGTACAAACAACAATAATAACAGCATACTTTGAAATGAAATGACAGTAAAATGCTAAAGTGTTGTTTAAGGTCAGAGTAGAAAATTATCTTTGTATAAATTTACGCAAATCTCTGTTGAATAAGAAAATGGACAGGGCCTCCCTGGTGGCGCAGGTGGTTGAGCACAGTGCTGTGAAGTTGTCTGCAGCCTCTACAGCGTGGGTTTGATCCCGGCCGGCCAACATGGCGCAGCAGACCTCTCCTGTCTTGCCGCTGCTCCCCTCAGCAGTGTATTTCGTCAGTCTGCCTGTTCTGTTCCCAGCTCTGTCTCTGGTGAATCCTCTCACCCTCCTGCGCATCTGGCCTGTACCCCAGTTCTTATATAAAAATAAATACATCTTAAAAAAAAGTAAAAGGATAATAATATTGGCACCTTAAATTATGAACTCTGTTTCTACCAGTTTTAAAAATTATATCCACATAAAAATACTTGTGTTGAGACCAGAAGCTATACATTAGTTTACTAGTTTAGTGTTTGATAATTTCAGTTATTATAATCACTCTGTTTCAAGACTTCTGATAGTTTCTTATTAGCAGTTTCCCTTATTGTTGACAGAACAAAGCTTCTCTTGTTGAAGTAGTAATTGATGAAGAACTGTCAATATTTCTTGTTACAGGTCTGCTAACAATGAATCCTTCCAGTTTTTGTTTATTGGGTAATACTTTAACTTCTCCTTCATGTTTGAAGAAAAGTTTTATTGTGTACTTTCATCATGGTGTTCTTTCATTATGGTCTTTAGCACCCTGAATGTATCATCACATTGTTTTCTGTCCTCTAAAGTTTCTGATGGGGATTTAATTGAATTAATCTTTTTGATGAGCACCATGGGTGTTCCATCAATTGTATTTTTCCTGCACACTGTGATTTGGCTTTTCATTAGCTTGAATATTATTGTCTTGTTTTGGATTGCCTTGGGTTTATTCTGCTTAGAAATTTTTGTGCCTTTTTTCAATGTGTAGATTTTTTCCCATCAAATCTGGAAAGTTTTCATTATTTTTTCATGTTTTCTTTCTGCCTCTTTGCTCTCCAATTTTTTCAGGATTTTGATTAGGCTCATGTTTGTGTGCTTGATGGTGCCCCACAGTGGTCTGAGGCTCTGTTAATATTGCTTCATAACTTCCTGATCTTTAGAATTGATTATTTTCATTGACCTATTTTCTTTCTTTTTTTATAGCAGTGACAATGTTTTATAGCACTGTATATGATGTAGGGGAATATGTTCACACTTCCTCAGATGCATATTACAATACCACACTTACCATCAAAGCACCCAACTCCTTTACCTCTTTTCAAGGGCACTTATTCTTTCTTTGAAACCTGGTATTTAGAGTTCCTCTTGTGATTTTTTAATTTCGGGTATTGAATTTTAAAGTTCAGATATTATAATTGGTTCTTTTGAATACTTTTTTAAAAGATTTATTTATTTATGCATATAAGAATTGGGGTATAGGCCAGAGGAAGGGGGGGATGTGGAGAGTAAGAGGATTCACCAGAGACAGAGCGGGAACAAAACAGGCAGACTGACCAAAAGACACTGCTGAGGGGAGAAGCAGGTGAGCCAGGAGAGGTCTGCTGCACCATGTGGATAGCTCCTGGCCAGGTGGGGGATCAAACTGGCACTGCAGAGGCTGTGGATAACCTCATAGTACTGCACTCAACCCCCTGCACCACCAGGGAGGCCCTCTTGAATACTTTCTAACTACCATTTTCTGCCTTTTTTCTGATAGCCTTGTTTGATTTGAAAATTATTTTTTTTTGAGAACTCTAGCTTTGACTAACTCTAATCTTGAATCAGCAAAATCAGTATCACCTGGGATCTTGTTAGAAAAACAGAACCTCAGCCCCACTCCAGTCCACTTGATCGACTTTGGAGTATTTGTAATGCACAGTGCTGGTCTAAGTCGGGATAAGTCCATAGGAAACTACTTAAAAACCATCTGGAGAACTGGTTTAAATGGAGCTTCCTGGAACCTGCAGTAGACCTTCTAAGTCAGAACTGCAAATAGGCACTTGAGAATCTACATTTTGAATAAGCGTTCCAGAAGATTATAATACATTGAAACATGAAAACCACTGATTTTGAAATTTCAACAATCAAATAGGATTTTATTTCCATTTTAATGGCACTTTGTATTTCATTTTTATAATTAATGTTTCTATCTATTTTAAGAAAGCATGTTCATAGTAATTAAACTGTGACTTTTTCCAACAGAAGCATATTAAATGCTGTTTTATCTCAGAGTAGTTAATCTACAGTGTGCAAAAAGTCTAATATTTGATTGGTTTAACTTTTTTATTTGTGTGTCAAAATGTGTTGTTATTATAACTGTTCAGAAAACACGATCACCAAAGTAGATTGCCTCAGTGATTCACCTCAGATTTATAGATATATAAAGAGACATTGTAAATTTTACCTGCCTTCATCATTTTATAAGATTCAAATGTGAATTTAGTACCTGACTTTAAATTTAATGTACTCTCTGGAGAGGAACTTTTCTACATTTGTTTAGGTTTACAATGATATAAGGAAATCTGATAGTCTGATGCATGTCTTGAATAGTTCACAGTTTGCTATAGTTCTTAATATTATACAGATTCTGTTCAACTGCACAGGAATAATTGGGCATTCCTGACATGACTCTTTATGACAGTTTTTACCTACTGTTAGAGTATCATTTCCATACTACCTTCCCATTACAATGTGACCAACCAAAGGCAGAAAAGATAAATACTCATGCTTATTTTGTGTGTGTGTGTGTAAAAAGATTTATTTATTTATTTATATTTTTATATTCCCCATACAATTGCACCCCCCTTATTTTGACCCCAGTCCCTCCTTTCCCCACCCCCCCATAGTGTGTCTCTGGTTTGTAGTTGTTTGTTGATTTTGATTTTTTCTTTCTTATAGTTACTTCTTTTTCCTGGTCCCTTATTTTGGTTTTCTAGATTCCTGCTATGGGTGACACGATCCGTTATTTTTTTTTCTTTCTGGCTTATTTCACTGAGCATGATCCCTTCCAGCTCCATCCATGTTGCTGCAAATTGCATGAATACTTATGCTTTTTACTTTATAATTCCTAGCCACACACCTGACATGTGGAGTCTCTTAACCATTTCTTGAATAAATGAGTGTTGTCACATAAGAAGACCTGGATTCCTGTGTAACTCCAAAAGAGTTACTATGCACAAATCAATGGGTACTGACTTCTCATATCTACTCCTGAAAGAAACATTGTGCTTTTTTGGAAATCAAATTAGAGGTTATGACATGTACAGCTCAGACAATGTATTTAGACCAGTGTGTGATTTTCTCTTTGCTTTTGGAATATAATTTGGCCAGTCATTTATATTCTGTATTTTCTTGCTATGAGAATTTAGTGTTGTCTTCCCATACTAAAGAATACTATTTTTTACATATTTCCATTCCAGAACCTTCCCATCTTTTTAACATGTGTTTTGCTTTGCAGAATGAGAACACATGGACTTATTGAACTGTAATTTATTGATTCTAATTATATTTTATGAGTGATGGAAAATTTAAAGTATTTTGTAGTCGTTTGAATTTTAATCCAGTAAAATTCAAAATAATCTTTTCTTCATTTGTTATAGTGTCATTTTGGTAGAATCCTCAACATTTATCTCTTTGCCTTCCCAACTGAGTGGACCTGATCAAGTCATTGATCACATGACACATAGGTAAATGTCTATATATTTTATGCTGATGATTACCTTAGGAAAGTTCTAAGAAATTAGCATTTAAGTAAATGTGTTTCATACTTACAGAATAATTTTAATTTATTTGAATTATTTAATTTTAGGTATATGTTATATATATAATTTATATTAGTCACATGCATGAAAATTGAATAAATATGCTCTTGACTTAATTCAGTGGATTCTCATTATTCACCAAAGTTATGGCCTGTAAAATTGGAGCAGGCATTTGGTTTGTAAATATTGAACCATTACTCCTAAAAGAAATATATATAATCATATAGATTATATTTGTAGTTCTGGAACCAACCCATCTTGGTAGATTCTACCTTCTTTACAAAGAGAAAATGAAGTTCAGGAATACTAAATGACTGCCTGAGGCTCATCCACTAAAAGGTACCAGAGAACAGTTCCAAACCATGTCCATCAAGCTCCAGAACCGGGGCTTCTTGAATTTCTGTACCTTCTCTTGTGGTCAGTCTCCATCCTCATGTCATCTTTGTATGAGAGCTAAACCAGGAAAAGCCCCATGATCACCTCGTTTCCCCTTAAATAGTAATTTATATGACCAGTGACTTAAATTTTTTGCTACTCTGCGTGTCCACAAACAACATGAGCACACCAAGAGTATTGATTTGGGGGTTACAAAGATGTTTTAGTGAGGTGAATTTGAAAATACAGAATTCGTGGATAATGAGGATTGACTGTGTTCAAGATTCTGGTAATGACATTTGTGTTTTGTTTAGAAAAGAACTTGGATTTCCAAATGGAGAAGCAGCTTTTTTTAAAGTTAGATTGCTTTATAGTTTTCATTTGTTACAAACTATAGAATTGCTATTTAATGTAGAATAGAAATAAACACAATGCTACTAAGGCTAAAGAAAGTCAGGCAGGAAAAAAAAATCATGTAAGCATTATCCGTGAAATACATGGATTTGTTGATGATTAATAGTGAATTATTACTTTATACCTTTGTCTCTGTAATGCTTGACAGTCTCAGTGTTACTCTTTCAGATACAAGATGTAGGTTAGGGCCCCTTGCTTTAGATTATTCTCACCTCAGTGTCCAAAATGGTTCAAAAAGCAGGAAAAACCCCCATTTTTACTTCCTTCCTGATGTCACCACATCCTTTTATGAAGAATTCCTGAACATATGAAGGATGGAATCAATCTAAACATTGACCTTTTTATATTTGTTCTCATCAATCATAAAAACTACACTTGAACCAGTTATTATCCTGTTTGCTTTAGACAGGGCCCAGAAAGCTGGCCCAGGACTAACTACATGAAGGTTTATGATAAAAATCTTCCTTTATTACTGGGAAAGGCTTAATAAGGAAGTTTGATTTATTCATGTCCTGAATGAAACCAATTCAATATCACTTTGATTGTTTTAGCTTGAAAAGAACTGCATACCATTAGGGCAAAGGAAAGAGGAAATCCATCCCTTCACATGTCCTAACGGGGCCCCATTCCCTGACTTTGAACCACTACTAAATTGTCTGAAAATATTCCATTGCTTCATTTGCAGTATTCTGTATAATTTTAGCATCTTTGGGTGCTATTTCTTTCTTAGGACCATAAGTTTAATTATGATCCCTCTACCATAGTTTCAGCAGTAATAACAAACACCTTAGGAAAATGATGGATGGAATGAGGTGCAGGGAGTAACAAAAATGTAAATGAATTTTGTTTTCCGTTCTGTCTCTGGGACAAGCAAGATACTGACTTTATAAATAAATTAGATTTATCCCTGAATTTCTAGCCTCAAGAACATTAATCAGGTAAAATGGAATTTTCCTGAACCGAATTATTTTATAATGTCTGAATTAATCATGATGATCATTAACTTTACGAACAAATCAATACAAATTTTAAGATCTGCAGATATTTTTTCTAGTTTTTTTCCAGAAACAGTATGGGTAACTCAGTTTTTCTGAGTTTATCTCCTTTGAGGATGAGGTAGTGCATTGATTCATTCAAAAGACACTTTCATTAGCTGTTCTCCAACAAAATAGATAAAGAAAAAGGAGATGATGCCTAAATTGGTCTATTTTCTATTCACAGTAGAAAAATGACTGAATGGCTAGAGATTGTATGTATTGAACAAAATGAGGTTTAGAGATTATCTGTGGATTTTAATCAAGACTTCTCAGAACTCCATTATCAAAGAGAGCAATATCAAAGAGAGTCATACATGTAGAGATAAGCAATCTGTTGTTCTTCCTTCTGTGTATGGTCTCTCTTATAAGGGCTAAAATACCCTCTATTTTGTCTGATGTATCTGTCAAATGCTCAAATTGCATAAAATATTAAATGTTCTTTACTTTTAATTGTTGTTACTTAAATGCTAGCCAGACTGTGAATAATGTAAAGCAGAGAATACTTACAAGATGTAGTAAATAACCTCATTAAGAATGTAGTGAGAAGACAAGACAGGGTTTGGAGGAAAAAAAAATGGGCATGGTTAGGAGAACTTTACTTGGAAATAGTTGATGTAGTTTTTACAGCATCAGATTCAGGCAAAAGCAGATGACAAGGTGAGAAAATATGGAGGTTTTATATTTTCAGAAAAAAAAAAGTTAGGCAGACAATACCTGAGAGCCCAAATATTAATTGACAGCTTGTTGAACAAAGTGATCATGAACATTAAGAGAAAAGCAATTAGGGGGAAATTGATAGTTTCTGAGAGACAAGGAACTTTCCAAGGGAGGCTGTTGCTTCAGGCTGTGATCCGCTAATTTATATTTAGACATGCTACCAGAGATTAAATAGCTGTCTAAGTCTCCTTCTGTCTTTATGAGAAAGAAGCAAATGTGGAAACAGTAAACTAAGAGGTGTTTTCAAGAAGCTGTAGAACCAATTTTTGAGAGTACCTGTGTACTCCTAAATTTGAAACCACCTGCTTTTGAGTCTTAGGATTTGGGTTATTATTGTTACCATCATCAAATGTTTATTTTTTTACAGTATTTGGAAACACAAGGGAATAATTTTTACCAAATTTAAAAGACAGTGGTGGAAATGTAGATATGTTTCTGTTTTATATTTTTCTTATTTTTAAGATTTCTAAAATAATATAAACTTCAAATGATATAGGAAATACATCTCTGATCTCTGCTTGTCATGTTGTAGATAGCCATAATAATGGATCTATAAGATTGAAGTAAGATAGGGAATTGTTTTGACTTTTGTTTGCATTGTTGATATCCTTTTCCCATTTATTCATGACAGTGATTATGTGCGTTCAAGTAAACGTGATATTGGTGAGGGCTGTTCCCAAACCCCAACTACCTTAAAAACTTGTGAGTACATCAAATTAAAGCTTTTCTTTGTTTTCATATTTTATTTTTATGTACAAACATAATATGGAGTAAAATAATCAACAAAAGCTGGTAAAAATGATATATTTCGGGCTGCATGGGTGCCAAACTGTTAGTCCTCAGCTTTTTCTGTTCCTTATTCTTTGGAGGACTCTGCCAGTGTCTTTCCTTTCACTGCTGAATCTTATTTTCTTCATCCTTGCAAGGGCTGTGTTTAGATAAAACGACCTGCATGTTCCTTTTAGATTATTCTAAATCGTTCAAAACTGTTTAGGTAACCTGTATAACCTAGTTTAAAATTATAAAGAGTACGCCTATTTCCTTTTTTTTGTAAAATAATTATGAATTTAGAAAACGTGGCTAGAATGATAACTAACAAAATGAATATAGGCGTATTCTGGTGATCTGTAGCTATAAGTTGCACCACTCTAAATGTAGTGACATTGAACAATAAACAGAAATTATGATTATTTTTACTCACACTTCTGGGTGAAGGTGCTCACCAGGGAGATACTTGCTCAGGGTCCCTCATGTAGTTGCAGTCTGAGGGAGCCTGGGACTTGAGGGCATCCCAAAGCTCACTCACATTTTAGATGGTTATTGCCTTTTGACTGTTTGCCTAGACATTTACATGTGGCCATTTTATGTGGGCTAGGCTTCTTCATGGGATGACAACTTGGTTCTAAAAGCAATTAAACCTAACACGAGAGATAATTAGGAAGAAATCAAGTTACATTTTCTGAGCCAATGTCAGAAGTCAGACTATTTGTGCTGCATTCTCGTAGAGTATTGGTTAGAGACAAGTCACTATGACTCACTCATCATATCTACACATTTCAGGCAATATTAAAAAAATTGTGAATATGTTTTAAAACTTCTGAAGAGATTTTATGTACAGTTGACCCTTGAACAGCACAGAGTTTAGGGGTGCTAACTCCCAAGCAGTTGAAAAGCCATATGTAACTATTGTCTACCCCAAAGCTTAATAGCTTGCTGTTAGTTTGGAAGCCTTATTGATAACTTTGGTTACATTTCTCTGAAAATGGTGCCACATATGGTCTGCAAATATGTTTGCCTAAGTTTTGATAAATTTTAATGTTTTGTGATAGATCTGTATCTATTTTATGATAGTAAATGATAAAATAGACTGTTTTATACAAACACTTTATGTGGTCAAGACATACCTAGCTTTTTAATTTTTCAGTGTTTCTTGGCTCTGTGGTTCATCTGCAAGTCTTTAAATTTTTGCAAATATAAAAAAATCAAATACATTTGTTGGAAACAGTCCTTATATAAACAGACCCATGGTATTTACACCTGTGTCACTCAAGGCTCAATTGTATATGTGTAAAACTTATTTCCAGTTCAACTTATACAGGAATTGCACCTTGTAATGTTAAACCATTACGTAGTGCTCACAAAAATTGAATATTCTTGGATGACCTCTTTGCTGTTTATATGTTATACATCCAGGCTAATTTTAAATGGTAGTGAAGTTCACTTTGTAATAAGATTATTTGTTAAGAAATTAATAATGGTCATACTTATGAAATTTTTATATCAACCTGAAGCTGGAGTCACTTACTTTCATTAACAAATATATTTATCATCTTCTAATTTTGTGTGCTGTTTTGAACATCTTTTTAATTAATCACAAAACTTTAATCACTAATTGAGACAGTTGTTTTATTTGAACAGCACTTATGAGATGATAAGTAAAGAGGCTCTGCTTCATGTTTTGGCAGCAATTAAGTCTGATTTCATCAGAGAGTTCTTTTGCTCCAGAAGCCTTCTTAACCTCGGATTGAAAGGGTCAACTCTAGAGCTTTACTATCTACCCTTTGGCATACATATACGCTACTGTGTCATCATCCTCAGCAACAAAAAGGTGAGAAAAGAGTTGTGGCTTCATCGTGGGCTGTCACTTTAGTGGAATAACCAGTACAGATCATTTAAAGACTAGAAATATAGATAAAGATTTCAGCTCTCTGGTTGCTGAACAAAGAGCCTGTCCTCAAGAATCAGCAGAGTTACATTTGTGGGTAAATTTTATAGTGGCTGCCTAAGGAAGTCCCATAGAATTATAGGAGAGACTTGCCTAGCCTTGCTGAGGCTCTGTTTGCATAGCAAATCACCAAGCACTGAGAACACACACTTATCAGTTCACATTTCCCATAGAGTGGGGGTCCAGACATGATTTAGGTGGGTCCTCTGCTTAAGGTCTAGCAAGTCTTCAGTCATGGAATTCACCAGTGCTGGGTTGTCCTCAGAGTTTCAGTTGAGGGAGGAGGATCTGCTTCTAAGCTCCCTGATGTTTTTGGCCAGAAGAAATTTCCTAATAAATCTGTGCATCTTACTTCTTCAAAGCCACCAAAGAGGAGAGGGCTGGGGAGAGAGAGTGAGACTTCAGGGGAAGTGTTTTTTGGCACTACCTCTTCTAGAAAGACACTGCTGTGTGTTGACCTGAGGTGGAAATTTATCACCCACAGGAGATAGCCCCAATTGTATCAGTTATGCACTTTGTTGTGATAAAGGTAATAGGACAGAGGTATATGCCTGGTGTCTTTCAGATCATTTGCACAAGAAATAATGCAGAATAGAGTTTAATTTCATGCTTTACCATTTACGAGGAAAAATGCCATGTTATGGTAATGGTAAATCTTATTTTTTTAATTTCCTTTAAAGGAGTTCAGGGTTTAACCAAATTCCTCTATATAAAAGATTATGAAAAATAGTGACTGTAATGTGATCAAATTCTTCACAATTTCTTTTTTATTTCAAATTATATTATAGCCCTAGAAAAATGTTTGGACTAATAATCAATTGCGTAGTAAAGAGGTTTTTATTCTTTGAATCAGACTATTGGAGTATTAATATTTGCTTCCATAAATTTTATCTAAATTAATCAAAGGGTAATTACACTTAGCTTGGCATCTCAATTTACTGAAATATGACTGTTGGTTACATATATTTGTCCATGTCAAAAAAAATAAGAAAAACAATAATCATGAAATTTGCTATCAATTGAGAAATAATTCTCTTAATCTAAAGGATTACATTGAATTACAATTACTTATGTGGGAAACACATCTATTAATTTACACATTCAATTTTATTGCTAATTATGTTGAAAAAATTCAATTACTCGCTTAAATAAAAATCAAAATTTCCAAGTCCACCTAGTTAGCTTCTGTTTTTATTAAATGTGTGATAACTGCTTTGCCATTAAGAACCACCTGTTGAACGCAAAAGTCAGTAGCCTTCCTATACACAAACAATAAATCTGAAGAAGAAGAAATCAAAAAGACCATCCCTTTTGTTATTGAAACAAAAAAAATCAAATATTTGGGAATAAATCTAACAAAAGAGGTAAAGGACCTATACAAAGAAAACTATAAAACACTGTTAAAAGAAATAGAAGAAGACACAAAGAAATGGAGAGACATCCCCTGCTCATGGATTGGAAGAATAAACATTATTAAAATGGCCATCCTACCAAAAGCAATATACAGATTCAATGCTATTCCAATCAAAATTTCAATGTCATTCTTCAAAGAAATAGAACAATTATTGATGAAATTCATATGGAATCACCAAAAACCCCGAATAGCCAAAGCTCTCCTGAAAAAAAAAGAAGGGAATGGAGGCATCAGACTCCCAGACTTCAAACTATACTACAAAGCCATAATCATCAAAACTGCATGGTATTGGAACAAGAACAGACATACAGACCAATGGAATCGAATAGAAAATCCAGAAATAAACCCACAGATTTATGGTCAACTAATCTTTGACAAAGGAGCAAAGAATATGCATTGGAGCAAAGAAAGTTTGTTCAATAAATGGTGCTGGGAAAACTGGGTCGCTACATGCAAAAGAATGAAGCTTGACCACCACCTCACACCATACACAAAAATCAACTCAAAATGGATTAAAGAACTAGACATAAGACCTGAAACCATAAAATATATAGAAGGAAATATAGGCGAAACACTACGTGATATGCACATCAAAGACATCTTTACAGACACATCACCCAAAGCAGTGATAGTGAAGGCAAAGATAAACAGCTGGGACTACATCAAATTAAAGAGCTTTTGCACAGCAAAAGAGACAATAACAAAAACAAAGAGAAACCCCACCAACTGGGAGAACATTTTTGCACCCAACACTAATGATAAAGGACTGATCACAAAAATCTGCAAAGAGCTGATGAGACTCAACAACAACAAAGAAAATAATCCAGTCAAAAAATGGGCAGAAGAGCTTAAAAGAAACATCTCTGAAGAGGAAATGCAAATGGCCAACAGGCATATGAAAAAATGTTCAACATCACTTGTCATCAGGGAAATGCAAATCAAAACTACCATGAGATACCATCTTACACCAGTGAGAATGGCACATATTAAAAAAACTAGCAACAACAAATGTTGGCGAGGGTGTGGAGAAAAAGGAACTCTTCTGCACTGTTGGTGGGAGTGCAAACTGGTCCAACCACTGTGGAAAGCTGTATGGAGATTTCTGGACCTACTAAACATAGAGCTTCCATATGATCCAGCAATTCCACTCCTAGGTATTTACCCAAAGGACACAGAAACATCAATTCCAAAGAACACCTGCACCCCTATGTTTATAGCAGCACTGTTTACAATAGCTAAGCTTTGGAAACAACCCAAATGCCCAAAAATAGATGACTGGATCAAGAAGATGTGGTACATATATACCATGGAATATTACTCAGCATTCAAAAAAGATAAACACATGCAATTTGCAGCAACATGGATGGCGCTGGAAGGGATCATGCTCAGCGAAATAAGCCAAAAGAAAAAGAAAAATACCGGATGGTCTCACTCATAGCAGGAATCTAGAAAACTTAAATAAGGGACCAGGAAAATGAATAACTATAAGAAAGTGAAAATCAAAATCAACAAAAAACTATGAACCAGAGACACTTTTAGGGGGGCGGGGGTGGGAGGGGAGGATTGGGGTCAGAATGGGGGGGCTGCAATTGTATGGGGAATATAACAATAAAATTTATTAAAAAAAAAAAAAAAAAAAAGAACCACCTGTTGAAAATTGTAAAGTAATTAGACTTCAGTTTGATAGCTTGCCATGTGTAAAACAAAAACATTTCTAATAACACTGCTATCAAGAAAATATACCATTTGTTTCATCTTGGCTACTCCTTGTGAACTTTCGAATAAAAAATCAAATGACTAACTACAGTTTGAAAGTAGAAATCGTTTTACAAAATTTCCATCAGTGAATATAGAAATCCTTACCTTCGGGAAAAGCTTACAAAAACCCTAAAAAATTTCATGTTCTCAAATACCAGAAATCCAAAGAAATTGTGCTTTTTCGTGTGTGCAGGGAAAAACTAAAGGGGATTCCAGAACAGATTCATGACACAGTCCCTGAAGAGTTGTACCTTCTGGAAGGGAGACTTGATAGAATTCCCCACACAAAGCATTACCTACAGTGCATACCTACAGCAGTATCCCAGCATGACCCTGAGTGCCACACTTGCTGTGCTGCCCATGTGCACATCTGTTTTGTGTTGACAGTGGGAAAACAACAGGATTGCTGGGTCATCTGTGGGGGGGGGCACAGAAACATCAAGCATGGTTCCTTGACATGGGCCCTGGGTTAAGAATAAGTTCCAGTTGCATCCACTTGCTGTGGCCTAACAGACCCTCTTACTGCAACCCGTGTTTCTTTTTATTGACACACATTATATTCCTTCTCCCCCTTTGTAGACTTTTTTTCTTGTTCTTCACTGGCCTTTTCTGTCTACAAAGTTTGGTCAGAGCTAGTCTGAGTATTGCTTATTTGAGGAAACCAGAAAGGGAGTCAGCATCTAAGTGCTTATACAAGTTGGTTCAGTCCCACACCCAGGCCCTCGCACAGCAAAGAAGTTTCTTATACAGTATTGTTGATTATAATCACTGTATTGTGCTCTATATAGGCACTATATGCTTTCCAGAGCTTAAGCCGTGCCAAGTAATATAAAAAGTTGACAGGACAAAGGGGGACAGCAGCCAGGAATAAAAACCCTGCAAGACCTTCTCATTGACTTATCATCTACAATGATTTGGTTTAAGATTATGCCACACCGGTCATCCTGGCCACAAGTATATTGTATGTCACTCTTGTCATTTCCATATATTTGCATAAATAAATGGGACCCCTCTTCCAATGCTTTGTACTATGACTGAGGTCATTCTTAGTCTCTTTTTCTGACTCTTAATATAGTCCCTGGTATGTATATTTTTAAATACTCTACAATCAATATGCAACTTTTTTCAATCATAACTTATGTACACACCGTAATACTATTGATTTTTGCTTAATTTTATTGAATGTGAAGGTAAGACCATTAGATTATATTATGCTAATATATTATGCAATTTTATATTTAGGCAAAGTGACTTCAGTTTTATGAAAGTTATTTTTATAGCTGGAAAGACTGATTATATTTTAATGGTAGTTTCTTTTATTTTCCATGATATTAACAGCAAGCCACATTTCATTTGCCCTTTGATTTTTTCATTTGATTCATTGCAACAGTATTAATTTTTGGGGGGGGTAATTGCAGTCCTCCCCATAGGCTATACCCCTGAGTTGTTCCCCAGGGAAACACAGAGAAGATGAAATTCCATCTAACCCATAAACACTAAAACATTCATTAACCTCAGGATGCCTGCCAACAATATGGGGGCAGGTTACATGAACTTTAAATTATACATCAATGTGATAAATGTTCACAAAGTTATGCGAGGTTCGAACACCCTCGACACTGCAAGACCTCCCACTTCACCCATCTCCTTCCCCAATTATTGTGAAATCATCATCCTACAAAAAGCACTGCAACCTTTTTCATGAAAAATA